ATGGGAAAAACAGTGTGCCCACTCTGAAGGGGGGGGGGAGTTAAAATTTGCAGGGTTTAAAAAAAGTAGTGTAAAAAACACCCCTTTTGGCAAAAAGTGATAGAGTGAATGAAAAATGAAAATTTTTTTTTTTTTCCCCGGGGCCCCCCCGCCTTGGTGGGAATCGGCCCCATGTTAATAAAAAAAAAAAATAAAATAATAAAAATTTTATATAAATAAATTAATAAATTAATTTTTTATATATTAAAATTTTAATAAATTTTTATATAAATATATATCGGCAGAAAAATTTTTTAACGGTCAATTAAACAAGAACCCAAATTAAAATTAAGTCCCTTTTTAAAATTTTTTTATTAAAAAACGTTTAAAGATATATTTTTCATTTAAAGTTTAAAGTAAAAAAATTTTTAATTTTGGGAAACCAAAAAAATCTTTTGAAAAAAATAAACCCAATGTTAAACAAGAACAATTTTATTTTAGCCCCAACCCCCAAATAAAAATAATTTTTGATTTTTTTTGCAAAAAATTTGGGGGAAATTTCCCAAAAAAACACAGGAAAATAATTTTTTTCTTAGGTTCAGAAAGATTTTGGGGGGAAAAATTTCTGAATACACAAATTTTCAAAATTTTCCAAAAAGGCAAGATGGAAACATTGCTATTTTTAAACCAAATTTGGAAAATTCCCGCCAATTTGGCACGACATATTTCTTACATATATATAATAAATATATATATATATATATATATATATTAAAAAAAAATATATATATTTTAAAATATATATAAATATAAATATATATACAAAAATATAAAAAAAATAATAATTAAAAAAATATATTAAAAATAAAAAAATTTTATGATAAAAAATAATATTAAAAAATTATTTTAAATATATAAAATAAAAAAAAAAAAAAAAAAAAAAAAAAATAAAAAAAAAAAAAAAAAAAAAAAAAATTTAAAATAAAAAAAAAAAAAAAATAAAAAAATAAAAAAAACTAAAAAAAAAAAAAAATAAAAAAAAGGGGCCACCAAAAAAAAGGGAAAAACCCCAACCCTTCAGGGAAAACCAAATTCTCCCCCCCAACATTTAGAAATTTTTTCCCCCCCCCCCCCCTTAAATAACCCCCCCAAAAAAAAAAAAAAAAAAAAAAAAAAAAAATAAAAAATAAAAAAAAAAATAAAAAAAAAAAATCAAAATAAAAAAAAAAATATAACAACCCCAAAAAAAAAAAAAAACAAAAAAAATAAAAAAAAAAAAAAAAAAAAAAAAAAAAAAAAAAAATAAAAAAAAAAAGACAAAAAACAACAAACACACAAAACAATACCCCAAATTAAAACCCCCATAAAACCCCCCCCACCCCCCTCGAAACTTCCCCCCCCCTCCCCCCCTTCCCCCCCAGTGCGGAGGGGGGTTTCCCTTCCGGGGTTGGGGGGGAAACCGGTCCCTCTGGAAGGAATTTTCCCCGGTCCCCTGTTCCTCCCCCTTTTGTTTCTAAAATGAGCTTTCACCCAGCTTTTATTAGGGAAATTTAGAGCACCTTGCCCCATGCTCCAAGGGGGGCACTGGAAACCCCATTGGGGTGAAGTTAAGCAAGGGGGGAAATTCCCTTTATATTTGCGGAAACTTAAGGCACCCTGTGGCTGGCAGCTCCACCCCCTTCCACTACGGGGTATGGGGAAAATAGGGGTCTGCCAATGTGGCGGGACATGTGTAGTCCCAGGCAATCTGTTTCCATCCTTTCCCAAAGGTTTGCACCGTGGCCCCCATCCCGGACGCATTAACTTCCCTCAGACCTCTGCACTTGGGGGGGCCCGTTGAGGGTGGGGAACGGGTTGTTTTTTGGGGAGGCTTCTCTTTATGATAACATTACCTCCCCCATGCCCGGGATAAATTTTCCCCTTTTTGCTGTGTGACCCAAAGAGACCATGAAGTCCGAATTTATCACTTTCGCCCCCGCCGCAAATAACCCCCTATGTTCGGTGAGGGGGGGGCGGCGAGGCAAAAAGCAACAAACCCAAACTGAATGGGCCCGTGGGGCCCAGTCGAGTGCCCAAGGAGGAAAAAGAAAAAACAGCAAACAGGGAATCTCTAGAGTGAGGGGCCTTCACTGCCAGGAGACGAGCTTTGTCCTTTCCTGAGGCGTTTGGGGAAGCATTGTGTTTGGGGATTTTTTCCATGATCCCGGTTTTTTCCCAGGGGAAATGTTTGTGGTTTTTTTGGGGGCGAGCTGATCCCACTGGAGGAATTTTGTAAAGGTGTCCCACCGAAAAAAAAAAAAAAAAAAAAAAAAAAAAAAAAAAAAAAAAAGCGGTTTAACCCTGGGTCTTGGCACTCCCCCCTTTTCCTCCCAAACATTTGGGGGCCCTAAAAAATTCAAACCTTTTATGACAAGGCCAGGCCCAAAAAGGGTAAAACCCGGTGGCAAATTTGTGGTTTGGGGTTTCCTAAAAATCAACTGGGAAAAAGGGGTTTTTGGAAAAAAATTTCAAACCCTTTTGGAAAAAGGCTCAGGGCCTTCTTATATTCCTCCCTTTTGGTCATTAAATTTTTTCCGAGGTGTTGGGTTGACCGGAGGGTGTCCCACTGGGAAGGGAAAGTGGAGTCTTTGGGGGAATTTTTAAAAAAGGAACCGGTTTGTGAGGGTTTTCAGGAGGGGGTTAGGGAATTCCCCAAAATTTCTTTTTTTTCCCCCAAATTCCCCCCCAGGTCTTCTTTTGCCCTTGAGGACTAGT